CTCAGGACTAAACAGAGTAACAAAAGTGAGATATGTATTTAATAAAAAGAAAACCTTATTAGATGTTAGGCAATCAGAATTAAACGAAAAAATATATTTATATAGCTAACGTAAAAACAATGCTTTATTTTCACCCGATTGTCGCATATCTAAAAGTTATAGTATTTTAATCTTTTATTAAGAGATCTTTGTACTAAAAAAACAATTAGGAAGTGGAGATGATATCTCTAAAACTAGATACAAACATATAAAACATATTTCTTTCAAAATTATCTTGGAGAAGTTTGCATTAACAATGCATATAAATTCGAAAACATAATAAAAATAACTTTAAAAGAATTATCACGCTTAAAGGTTGGATAGAAACAAGCTAAATAAAAAGCCTTAAAAAAATACTATTATAAATATTCTTTTTATATTTTTAATTTGCTCTCAATTCAGTCGTCTTTATTTCAAATAGTTTTTTATTTATCTAGAACTAAAAATCTAGGCTATCATAATTTCTGTTCTTGTACCGCTTTTCTTTAATTTTAACTTTACTTTTTAATCGTTTTAGATTTTCTAGGTCGCGTTCTAGATGACGTGAGGTCAATATATTAGGCTATACATTTTATAGCATTATCTAAATTATGATCATCAATTTTCATTATCAATACTCATATGTTGTATATTTGTAGGCATTTATTAACAATAATAGTTGTAACAATTTATTAAGCAACGCGCTGACTGTTCAACTTAACCTTAATCGATGTATGTATGGGCTGTCAAATCAGATATTAAGTTATTGCAAATATTTATGTTTTGATTACGATTGTGTCAATAAGGTCAATTAAAGAGACGAAACCTCTCATCATTCAATGTATTCACCGTCCGGGTGTTGAATCCATCGTTACAGGGAGAGGAGCTTCAACAGTGACTGGGACTTGCGACCCAGGTGTAGGTTTAAGGGGCCCTATCTATCGGGCATTAAACGCTCACCTTCTGTCCAAGCAATTTGAAAATTATAACTAGATTATATGGTTAATTACTGTGTGGAAGAGAGGGGCTGGGACAGTGGAGGTGAGCGTTTAACGCGTTAGATAAGGGCCTCTTAAACCTACACCTGGGTCGCAAGTCTCAGTCACTGTTGAAGCTCCTCTCACTACAACGATGGACCCGGCACACGCATATGAATACATTGAATGAACAGAATTTCGTAATTTCTTTGATGATCAAAATTTTTATATTAACTATGTATGGCAAAATGGAATTCTCTTGCAACATAAAGTTGACCAATCTATTGATTGATGGACATTATTTGTTAGGTATAAGGTTATGTGAATAATATTATTATATTTTAAAATTTATTACCTACTTAAATATATATTTGGAGATTTAGCTTAGAGGCATAGATATTAAAATCACTATATAGTGAATTATTTGACTTTATTTTAACTATAGTTTAAAATGTTGAAATATTATCTCAAATATATATATTTTTAATCTTTATACAGAGTGACTGGTGAATTACTATCGATATTTGAGGACGTGATTTTTTCATATATGACAAAATAAAAATTAATATAACATAAATATTAATAAACTTCTAAGTAAAGTTAACCGAAAGTTATGTAATTAATTACGCATCGTGTGAACGCCCTACAGATTAGGTATACACACACACACACACGCGTGCGGTGGCGTGGTGTTGTATCAGCACGCCGCTGCACGCGTCCACACTTGGAACACTTGGAACGTGTTCATACTTTATTTATTTATACGGAAATTTGGTCAAAAATTAAGTGCCTATTTTTTTTACATAATTCGAATGAGAATCATGTACCGAGTATTCTCCTTAAATATTGATAGTAATTCACCAGTCACCCTGTATAGAATTTTCTTGTCTCGGCCGTATAGAGCCTCTAAATAATCAGATATGGGAGTTTATTAAGTTTTTTTCTGTTTCGAAACATAATAAAATATCCTATGTCCGTCCCCTGGTACTAAGCTATCTCCCCGAGAATTTCCAACCAAATACCTACAGCCGTTCTTGAGTTATAAATAGTGTAACTAACACGACTTTCTTTTATATATATAGCTGTTTCGTATATGAAGATGGTATTGCCATAATAAAAAAATGTAATTATTTGGTAATACTTGGAGAACAATTGTGTGCTTGATTGCACACATTTGTTATTTTATAATGAGATGATGAAAATAAATTGTAAGAAATATTACACATTAATAATGTTTTTAAGCAATTCAAGAATAAGCTTTAAAGATAAGATAATTCATTAAAATATTGCAACATCTTTAATTATTATAATGTTGCCGTATTTTGGAAGGATTTTAATTGATATAATTAGGAATAGTAGAAATAATAAAAGAGATATTATTAAAAAATAATTGGTTTCGTCGTCGTCATCAGCCTATCAGAGCCCACTGCTGAGCAAAGGCACTTCTCACATGGAGAAGGTTTGTTTATTAGTGTTAATTTAATTGAAAAAAATTATATCAGAAACAAATAAGAATTATTTATAACTAGCTTTCCGCCCGCAGCTTCGCCCGCGTGGAGTTCGGTTCAAAAGTCTGGGATAAAAACTATCCTATGTTCTTTCTCAATGTCAACTCTATCTCTATAACAAATTTCATTATTCACTGACCGACAGAGTTACTTTCGCATGTTTTCAATTGTTTGTTGTTGTTTTAACCATATTTATATGTGGCTGTATAATAAATACATTACATGGAAAATGAATTAAAGTGTATATCTTCCAATCACGTCCCGACAAAGGGCAGTTAAGGAAAATACAATAACGCGCGAAGCATAGAAATCATACACTCAATTTATTGCTATAAATAGTTTTTATGTTACCACAGACTATATTGTGAAATTTTGTTTTTTTTTTAAATTAAATTATTCAGCCAAAGATAACCGTAACAAATGCTGTCATGTCAATTTAAAAAAATCTCTTATTTACCGGTTATTTACCGTAAATGTTTTTTTTTCATATTTTACTGTTTATTTTAAGCAATTTTTGTATATATGTTGATATTATTTTTATAACATGTTATTTGTACATTGTCTTCTAGAAGACTTATCCTAAGTAATCATTCCTAATTCTCAAATCGTGTTACTTTTGTGTCTTACACAGAAAAACAAATGACAACAATATTTTTCTTTTGAAATAATCATTTATGTAATAAAGATATATCTTTTATATAATGTTAACAACGTTTTTTATATTTATCTCATGTTATGTGTAAATTTTTTATTAATCAAAATATTCGACATAATGAAAATTATACCGATGACGAAACTTGTAGAGTTGAAAGAAATATTTCTTATAAAGGTATTGAGATTATTAAATAATTAAAATTTACCTAAAAACAAGTTAATATAAAACTTCATATTTATTTTATTGCTTTTTTATATATTTATTATTTTTATACTTTCCTCTACTCCGCTTTAAGATGATTAATAATACAATTCTCGTTTCTTATACTTACACTACTTTTGAATCGTAACACTATACACCAAGCGTTAATAATATTTCATTCATAAATCTCTACATTATAGTATTAACGTAGGTTATTGAAGTAAAGACGGGAAACGCGTCGTATGTAGTGACGATACTTAGAATAACCATACTTATAATGTTTTTAACAAATATAAAGATATTTCGAAGTAAAAAGTATTTAATTAAAAAAAATTACATTTAAGAAAACTGTTTTTATGTTAATATATTTAGTAGATATTTTTAATATGTATAAAAAAAATTCTTTCATACCTGGATTACTTGAAATAGATGTCGCACAGATAACAATTATCAAACTGGCATATAAAATTTTAATAGTCGTCCTACTTCCATTACAACTACACTTAAAATACTCCATCACAGGAAACAATTAATTAGACAATTAAATTTAACAAATAAACTACATATTTACACTAAAACACACTGATAATAATTTAAAACATGATTTTGATTAATATTTTTGATCAAAAAGAGGTTTTATATTTTTGTTTGTTATAAATTCGCGCGTTAAACAGCGTCCGCTGACGCGCATGCGCACTGCTATTGTGAATCACACAGACTCCCGCCATTCTTTTTAAAGTCATTCACAACAGAGACCTGAATATATTAACATTAATTACTAGATCAAGATAAAACCTTTGTGCAGCCTTGGTATCTGGATCTGGATAGACCTTGGTCTCTATAAAACAAATATTTATTGTCTGTGTACTTAGTTTTTTTTTTAAGTAGGTAAATGAATATCGCAATCAACCTTTTTGGACGTAAGAAAATATAAAGAAAATGAAGATAATCAAATACTTTGAAGTTATATTAACACTAAAAGTAACACTTTTGTATTTTGCAATAAAAGTGTAGTAAAATACAGCGTATTTCAGTATTTCTTCACTTGTAATAAGAATTTTAATACATTTTTTATGAGGCGTATAAATGAGTACTCAATAAAATTATTTCCTTTTAGTCTATGAGTAAATAAAACTATTTTTAAAGAACATCTTGTTATTTATATAGATTTTTTTTCAACTGAATTGTCCTTTCAATTATTATTTTTTTTAATAAAAATATACAAGAATATCGAACGAATGTTTTGTTATTTAAAAAAAAACTGTTAATAACTTCTGAATAGTCAAAAAACAAAGCATAGACAAAGAAGTCTTTCTAGTTAATTACTTTGTACCTTTATTTAGTGCTTCACTGTGGATGACGTACTTATGATAAAAAAAATAGCATAAAACTATTACATTATTATTTTAAGACTTCGATATGGTTATATTGAATATTGAATATATAATATTTTAATGCTTAAAGCTGTCAATATTAATAAGATATGAAGCTAATTACGGTACGCCCCCTCGTTTGTGGCGGACCCTGTTACTCACCAATAATTGCTAAAAGCTGCTGAAATTCAATAAACGTTGTAATTTACTTCATAATAATTAAAAAAACGATATAAATAATGCAATTAAATTTTTATATTGAAACAAAATGTACGGTAGAGCGGTAGTGATCGGAGTTTTCGTGATTTTGTTTCTGTTTGAAGTGAATATGGCATCTGAGACGAAGAATGGACAAGGGAAGACGACTCTGTTTTTTTACCCTTTTTACTACCCGGTGTACTATTTCCCATATTACATGCCTGCTGTATATGTTTTAGGCTAATATTAGTTTTATTTATCACAAATAAATATCGTGTTTATGGAAACAGTGAAAAGATTTAGAAAAAAGTAAATAAATTAATACAGAGACTGAATTTTATACAGAAAAAAGGAGGAAAAGATATCCATGAATCTTTGAAGATTATTCTTCTTAAAATATTAAGCCACATTAATATATATTTTTTTCAAACAAAATATTTTTTCATTGTTTTGTATTTATTTCAAATAAACTCCGTGTTTTGAACAGGTCTAAAAGATTCCTTTAAAGTCATTTTTACCTCTTGTTCTCAACAGCCAAACCCTAATAATTTATCAATATAGATCTTAATAATCTGAAATATGGTAAATTAGCATTAGCTGATCTCTTTATAAAATTAATAATATAAAGTGTACTTAGTCAAGGTTCCGTATATAAAAGAATGGTGTGTTTTTATAAACCCATAATGCAAATGAAAGTATGATTTTGTATTCAGATACTCGTAGTATCATATATCTAAAAGAAAGTTAGGGCTCTTAAAATCTTTGTTTTAATTTAAACTTAATATAATGACGCAATACCCAACATAGGTTTAAGTTTAATTAGAATTAATAATAATGTTAAAAATTATGAAGTCATCAGTCTATCAGAGCCCACTGCTGAGCAAGGCCTCTTTCTCACATGGAGAAGGTTTGAGTATTAATCACCACGCTTGCTCAAGACGGGTTGGTGATTTCAAACTTATATTTGATAAATTATAAATCCAGGTTTCCTCACGATGTTTTCCTTCACCGTATGTCAGTGATGTCTAAATACTCTCAGAAAGTACATATGACTCCGAAAAATCATATTTGCCAGGCCAGCTTTGACCCCGCGCCCTTGGCAACGAGAGGCGGGCCCTTTAACCACCACTGACGTGTAAAAAAATAAATATATGAACAGTGTTGAATAATGTAAGACATTTTGAAGGAGAATTAGTCCAGCTAATTTCGCATTACCCTACTCGTCAGCCAGCTGTAATGTGACATGCAAATAGATAGTCAAAAATTTAGGTGATGTGATAAAACGTTTCACTTATATTTGATATGTGACGTCTTTACTTTTGCTGTTCAGTTTTCAAAATATTATGTAGTATGAACACAAATATTATAATCATAAATGCATTTAATTCTCTTGTGCCACTCCAGAATATTGTGTTGTATGTACATAACTTGTTAATAAAATAACGTTTTTTTTTCATGAAATTTCATGTTATTATCATAGAAGTACTTATATGCAATTTAATTTTTTGTTCATATTCACTTAATCTATTTTAATATTATTTACAAGTTAAACAAAAAAATAAAACAATATTACTTATATAGTAAAAATAGGAATAAATTCGTAATCTTTATGAGAAATCGCAAAATGTTTCTGCATATTAGTAGAACGACGTTATGAAAAAGGTAAAATAAATCGAGACAAACATACATATTTGAATTAGGTTTAGTCAATAGTTATATTTATTTCAAACAATTAACTTGTTTTATGTGCATAAAACATTATATGATTATAATTTAATTTTTAATTTCCAGCTTTACGTTTTTCTTTTATTTTTCTTCTTTGGATTCTCTTCATCAATATGGCTGCCTATCACTAAATTCAGACGGTCAAGACCAACAAAGCCACCACAATTTCCACCACCCGCTGAACTTAAAGAGGAACATTTGTATAAACTAAAGATACCCAACAAAAAACTATGCGACGAAATGGAGAGAAATCAGAACGGGAAGTACCTTCTCATACCCTGGCTGTCCCTGAACTGCCAGGTCTTGAAGGATGAAGTAGCGAAGAATCTGTCTCCCGGGGATGTTCTACCGATCCACAGAGCTGTCATAAATAAACTTTTCTCATACAGAAGAAGCGGCCTGTTGAAATATTATAGCAGAACCACATTGCCACATGTAAGCAGGATTTAATGTAAAACCTTCATATGAATAAAATCAAAAAAAAAATCATGGTGAATTTCATTTGTGTTGCTCTTATTAGGACAAAGTTGTTAATTGTTTCCAAAACATTAGTTTGGTTCACCAAACAAACGCGATAATAACAATTCTTGATCGTAATGAGGTTGTTGGAAATGGTAAGTAATCTGTATGTAGATGTTAAATTATAATTCTATTATAATAAAATTAGCCAATTGGTTATTAACAGATGACAATATTTCTACACTTATCAAGTGTGCATTCAAAGAAGAAGTACAAAGTTAGATCATCAGAAAGTATAGAGAATATTTTGTACTACCAAGACTGCAATCATAAGAAAACGACAGAAGCACCTGTAATGCTTCGAGGTGCTACTCAGCAGCAGGAATGCAAGATGTGTTGCACCATGTGCTGTGGGGACCAATGCGTTAACACCAATCAATTATCTATGGGAAGACAAGCACAGGGTGTGAATATAGAGCCCAAAGTACAACCACTACTACCCACAATGCAGCCAAGAGAGAGAAGAAATAAAATTAAGCCACTAAACGAGATGCCTCAACCGAAAAGACGTGGCTTGAGCTTCACTAGAGAGAATATAAAGAGTCTTATTTCACATGATGATGACATCAGAAAGATTTTGAAAGATCTGGTGAGAGTCACTATGCAGAAAGTTGATCTCATGGAACTGTTAAACTCTAGGAGGAAGATGGAGAACAATCCTGAACCGAAAAATGATTCAGAGGATTCTGAAAATGATTTGTGATTACATTGTGTTGTTATTTCACATTGGTATGTTTTTAATTCTAAAATTTATTATAATTATGGAAATAAGCGATTAAATGTTGAAATATATCTAAAAATAATTCATTAGAAAAAGTTTATTAACTTTCCAGAACAATTGTCGTGAGTTGCGGCTTTCGGGAATCAAAATATTAACACAATAATGTAAATGACGCAAAAGTTTAAAATATACCCAAAGTTTTACTTGTGACAATATAATGTTCCATTCGTATTTTATATATTTCACGGTTCTGTATAATGTATTTAATTCTGTATAATGTGTATAATTCTATTGTGTATAAATAAAACGTGACTATTTTATGAGTAGAATGAAAAATTCCTTACAGCATAATACTTTCTTGCATAACAAGGCTTATAGGCTCAATTAAATCTTTTCATTTGCAATGAATAAAACTCTATGCCTATGCCTTTATACATATGTATATACTGCCTTTAAAATAAAAATATTTTGTCTTTTAACTTAGTCAAACCTCTTTAGAATTCGTTTCAGATATTTTTATACGCCAATATTTGTGTATATAAGAAAAAAATTGCATAATCTAATAGTTTACTCAACGGCAGACGAGTTGTTTATCAATTTGGTTTCTAATCTCGTCTATTACATATTTTATCTATTATAATAAACTTAATAACAACAATATTTTTATCAACATGTTTTTAATGTGAAGTATCTAATATTCATGATTATACGACCAGTCCTGATTGCATACGATTTACTTTGAAATACATAATTAAAACTTTATGAAGTTGTTTGTTGTTTCGAATAGAAGCAGATTTAATATTATAATTTGAATGGAATTATAGTTTCGTTTATAAATAGCGTTTTTTTATCTCTATTAGAAATCGATGTGTCTTTTAATTTTAAGCATTCCTGATCAAAAGGTGCGTAAGAAATTTAAAGTATAGTTTTAATTCTCTCTTCTACCTGGCAATTTCCCAGCTTTAGACAGGGTCTGCCTTACATGTTGGGAATAGTTTTGGCTAATTGTTTTTACGACCGGCCGCCTATCTGATATCAACCCTCTTTGGGAATGCGTTAATCAGTGATGTCTAAATACTCTTAGAAAGTACATATGACTACGAAAAAATCACATTAGTACTGGACAGGCCCAGGATCGAATCCACGTCCTCATGCATGAGAGGCGGGCCTTTTAACCACAAGGCCACCACTGACTTTAGTAAAGTCTTAATTATATACACGAATATTTATATATTATTAAACAATGATTTAATATTACAATGTATATAAAATTATACATACATATATTTGTATAACTGAGATGCCAGATGCTTAGGAATTCCTGATATTTCGTATCATATAAGAACATAAATAATTATATACAATTCAAGTTGATAATGGAACTGCAGGGAACGGTGTGATCATTTGTTATACTGAACGAACAGAGAAATTATCACGAGGAATATCTTCTTTGAAAACGTCTGTGACGTGTTTCGTAAAGTGCAAGCGGTGACATATATGAGAAAAGATTTAAAAATATATATATTTTACTCTTAATATTGTACCAGCTGTTCACAGCATCTTGAAATGTATCACAATCTATTGTTATATAAATAGGAACGCCAGTAAAAACTATTTAATATGTGCAAAGGGTTGGAATTAATTACGACCTTTTTTGTTATCAGAATTGTAGTTTGTAAGTAGGGGTGAATCGGGAAATATGATAGTTTTGATCAAGCTATGAATACATAAAACATATTTTTAAAACCTAATATTTATATGCATTTCAAAATATATAGATAATATATTCAAAACGATTTGTTAGAAATGCAAATAATGTAATATTTATATATAAAAATATATATTATTAATGGCGTAGTAACAACAATTAAGTGTCTATGACGAGATTTAATACATTTTGAAGTATTTTCCACAGTGTCGCCGAACTTAAACGCTGGGTAGACGCGTAGACAATTCTATTGCATTATCTTATTATACACACAATATAACTATTAAATATTAATATATGTAAATAAAAATCTTAAACGTTTCTGAACACTTTATTCTCTGAAGAGAATACTTTAATCTGTTAATGTTTGTATTTCTTCGAACACAATCGTGGGTTGTTCAGTTTTTGTTCATTCATTCGTTGCTTGACGTCAGAATGAAGGTGGATTTTTCAATGGAATGCTTTTTATTTCTTATTAAATTTAAGAAACGTTTTGCTAACCCATTATCTATATTGTAAATGCAAGTTTTATTTTAACCGTTCTATTTATTATTTGGAATCATTTAGTTTGTATCAGAATACGAATTAAATATCGCTTAAATATCGTTTTATTCGCTGTTATTATGGTAGGTGAAGCAGTGGAATAGAATTAGTTTTTCAATACATATATTTATGAAAGCAATTAATTAAATTGGTGATGTATTAACACAAAATCTAGATAAGTTATCCCTTTAGTGCGAGCGTTATACATTAATTTGATTACTCTATTATACAGGGGGATGTCATTTTGATATCGATGAAGATTAAATTCAAAACAGTTTTGCCTAAACGTATCTATTAAAATTGATATGATGATATGTTTCGTATCGAAAATATATGTTTATTTGGTAATAATTAATTTTTAATATTTTTTATTAAAGTATAGATAGACGATGTTAGAATTAACTACAAACTTTAAGGCTTGTAGAAAATATCAGTGTCTGCCTGTTTTAAATCTAAATATTACTAGTTGTAGTTAAATAGAATATTTAAATCATATTTATTTATTATTTATTAAATACACAACGTATTCTCATACATAAGTAGTTAAAAATGATTTTTAAATATTGTTTATACTTCCAATTCTTTCAAAATAAAAATGCTACTTATAAACGGCTTTATTCCATTCGAAAAAGTTCTTCGTGATTCCTTGACACAGTACTCAATAATATAATTTGTTCAACAAATAAAATTTTGACCATGGAAAAATATATTTCAAAGATTCCAGAGCTATACAAGCCATAGCATTAAAAAAATAGATTTAGCTAGTGTAGATTCCTTCAAAATGTTTGAACGTCAAAGTATTTTTATTTGAGAAATAATATAAAGTAAAAAAATAGTAATAATAATTATTTTTGCTACTTTCATTGAATATACATATCTTAGATCATAAGTGAAGCTTGTTGTATAACTACATCTCTAAGTCTGTAAAATTATGAAAATATGGCATAACCTGTCTATTTACAAGAAATTCTTAATGAATATTATTATATATCTTACTTGAAACTTGTCTATTGAACTTTTTAACTCAATCTTTATCAGTTTTTCTTTTATTTCCATCAAAAAGTATGAAAAATTATCACACTAATAACAATGATAAAAAAATGTATAATTCTTTCTGCTGCAAAATAAAAATTCACCTCTTTTTATTGTAAGATAGGTAAGCTACATGACAACACTATAAAAATATGCCCAAATACCTAATGTGTCTTGTTTTATTTCGTCATGTTAAATTCTTGTATTTAAAATTAAATATAAGAAAAGTAAATTATAACAGCAAAAAGAAAATGGTTCAAAATGAAATTCCTCGAATGTTATCTAATTAAAGTATTATTTATTTTACTAGCTTTAAAAATTATGTTGGATATTATAAAAATGTATTTCGAACAACTATATTCTAATGAGGTTATATTATAAATACGTAGTTTAAAAGATGGAGGACAGGTTGCGACAAAGTTCATTTTTTTTTAATTTAAGTCAAGAAGTTTTTAACATATAATTTAAACTGGTAAAAAACATAGACAAATTATTCAGTTATATATTTTTAATTACTTTCTCTAAATATTAATGTCGAACATCATTTAAATAACAATTGACCCATCAAGAACACAAACTGTGTATGTTTTTCATCTTGTTAATCATCTCTTTAAGTAGTTATTTTATGAAATAAGACCTATAATTCCTCAAAAGATATCTAAAATTTTTCGAATATTCATTTAAATAGAACTAATATTTTGGGACATACTACATTTTTAAAAATTTAAACTATATACCCACGTTTCGGTTACTTTGCAGCTCGTTTTCTACCCCTGAAAATCGTAGTACATTCGAAAATATTAGTTTATTTATATTTCCTTGTAATACATGAATATGTTTTAGTCAAAACAGGGAATATCATATGAATCCATAAGGAGAATACGAGAAATGCTGATTCAAGCGTTTTAACGAAATCTCTCTGGAGATGAAGTCTTGTTGATATTCAAAACAATTGGAATTATTTATAAAGCTTTTATTTAAATGTTTAATATAAATAAGCTTAGAATTAGACTAAGAGCGTCTATAAAAAATTATAGCCAATTAATACGACTGATTCTGTTTAGTAATAATATTTGTTAATGACTAATCGTACTTATTATTTTTAAGACAAATTTCATCTTTGCTTAATGGTTTTTTTTACGCCTAATACGATTGACCTTTATATCAGTTAGAGAAAAAATTAAAAATATGTTTTGTTAAATACACAAATATAAATACGAAATATTATAAAAAAAATTGTGTTTATAAAATTGTTAAAAAGTGTTATAAAATAAATTTCAGAATGTAACCTAAGCCCAAGTATAGATATTTTTTACAATTAAATATTGTCTAATAACTACAGATACCTTTACTTGGTAAGCGAACTCAGCCAAAGCCTTCTCACTCATACCTTGAAGAGTTGAATTGAATCACACACCATATAACCAATTAATGGGAGTATTAAAAAGCTAGCGCCTGTAACCCGGACTCGCTACTCATTGTTACTTTAATAACTTGATGTTGCGTTCTCTGTCACACACAAATCCGTGCAAATCGCAGGGTGGCTTGCAGAGCTAGCTATATACAGAGGCGGCGTGAGTATTAAATAAATAATTATGTATATACATATATTTATTGAATTATCTTTATATTTAATATAAAATTTTAAACCTCAATTATGTATATTAAATATTGCTTAATGTTCCTACATGTTTTTTAA